TTAATGCTATAAACTCATCAGGAAAATGTTCACTTAAGTTATTGATCAAGTAGAGCAGTAGCTGTGTAATCGCTTACTTTTTTCAGTAAGAACCAGCGACCCCTGCTGTCCTTTAGATGTAATGCACACTAGGGCACTACATGACTTTATCTTTCAGACTCAAAGAACAGACTTGATGTTCTATGTTGTGTCGTTACTCTGGATTTATTTGGTTCTGGGTGTGACATCATTTAATTTTTTAATTAAAAGTATACAACAGTTTTAGTTTAAAAGTTGAACATGGCTTTACCCCCTGAAAAGGCTTGGACAGCTAATGTGCTTCCTGTGCTCGTCTGACAGGTTCAGCCAGATGTGGCAGATGTTGATTACGGCTCAACCAAAAAGCAGAGAGGAAAGCTGCTCTACTCTCTGGAATATGATGGGCCTCTGTCTGAGGTGATTGAATGAATGTCTAATTGTTTACCTTTCATGCAGCGTTGCACTTCTATAATGTTGCATTCTTATTTTAAACATTTGAATGTGTGAAATTTGTTCAGCTCCTCTTTAGTTTTCAGCTGTGGTATGAGTCAATATCCATCTGTTTCCTGTCGACCTTTACAGCTCAAACTGGGGATCAAACAAGCCAGCAGCCTGATGGCCATGGACCTCGGAGGAACCTCAGACCCATATGTCAGAGTCTACATCGTCCCCGAAAAGAGCAAAACCTATGAGACCAAAGTGTTCAGGAGCACGCTGAACCCTGTCTTCAATGAGCAGTTCACCTTCCAGGTAGGACCTGGGTGACTTGCCCTGTTTAGTTGCATTTGCTTAAAAACAGTCATAATTAAAAATTGTTGTGTATGTGGTGAATTATTGAAGTTTAATGTCAATGCTGCAAATCCTCAAAAAAGAAAGAGCTTCCAACCTTAGTTATATGCCCCCAGCTACCAAAGTCTACCCTGATGAAGTCGACAGCTGTGATGAAAGTGTTTGACTTTAACCGGTTTTCCAAACATGAAATCATCGGCGAGATCCGGGTGCAGCTCTGCAATGTTGATTGGAATCACATCATCGAGGAGTGGCAGGAGCTGGAAGAACCCGCCAAATTTGAGGTTTGCTTTCACACATTTCCTTATTCTTCATGGTCCAAGTGGTGGCATCTAGGAAGGTTGTAATCAATTTTTGTCGAATGTATTTCCTTATTCTTTAAGGACTCAGTTTCCTAATCCAAACCTCTTGTGTCATCCAAAAAGAAAAAGCAGTCATGTTGCTTCCTGGGACCAATAGTTGGATTAATGGCAGGATTAACAGATTTTCAAGCTTGTTTTGTTTACTCTTCTCTTCATACTGTCAAAATCTAATCTGTTTTTTTATACTATACCCCAGTCAGTGTTGGGAAGGTTACTTTTAAAATGTATTCCATTACAGATTACA